AGACTGGGAAATGTGAGTTTCTGTCTGCTCCCTCTGTGCTGAGCCCTGGGGGAACAGCCATTTAAAAACTGTTTTTTTGTTTGCTACCATCCCACTGAACCCATGAACACAAGCCTTGATGGCCACTAGAGCCACCTTAACAAGGGACGTGTCCTCTGGGTGGCAGCCACAAAAACCTGAGCACTAGATATGTGCACAAGCTCCTTTCTGGGAGATACCAGTGACCTGGAGCAAGGCAGGAGAGCAGAAATATGGCACCCGGTGGCCTCCCTGTCTCTGGAGAGTATTGTAGTCAGCCCCTATATGTGTGTTAAGTTAGTTAGAAGCCTGCTCCTCAGGCTATAGCTTTTACAATAAATAAATAAGCCTCTTTCATGGGAAGAGTGGGCATATTTCAGTCTGCTGCCCCTGCCCTGGGGTGGGGGGTTAGCTATGGTGAGTCCATGTCAGCCCTTTAAGAACTATCTCTTAGTTCACTAAAGCCTTGTGGATTTCTTGAATGCAAGCCCCATTGACTCCAAAGCTAGATGTTTTGGGGGCCCATCTTTCAGATGGAAGTCTACAAGTTGGGGCATCAGATGTGGGGTTCAAACCTTTCACTCCTCAGAGAGAAGCTGGGAGTTCCCTCCTGGTTGTGTGTTGCCATGTCAGGGATGGGGTTTACAGCGAGACTGTATGTCAGCCTCTCTTACCCATTTTGATGTAGGTTTTATCCTCATTCATAAGTGCGGTAAGAGTCACTCAACTAGTTCCTGAATTTCTTTCTGGGAGAATAGTTTTGTATGTAGCTGTAGATCCGGTGTGTCTGTGGGAAGGGGTGAGTTCGGGACCCTCTTATGTTGCCATATTGAACCAGAACCTCCAGCTAAATTTCTTAAGTGTGTAGACTGTTCCATATCTACACAAGAACGCATTGTGCTTGATTTCTAATGTTCATTCAACGAGTACTTTACTGAATGTTTGCTGCACAGAAGGCACTCAAATGGGAAAAAATGAGCAAGACTTAGTCCTCGTTCTTAAGAACCTTAAGTTCTAGAGAGGAGAAACACTAATAACTAGCTATAAAAGAGAATAAATTACAAGATATAATGCATGATGTTCACCGAAAAGACTAATTGAGTGAAAATAAAGGAAGGTATATTTCAGGTTAAGAAAACATTGTACACAGGGCCAGAGATGACTGACAGCATTGGTCAGTGAAACAGCATGGTATGATGAGCACTGGGCCTACAAATAGAGGCAGAGAAATCATGTTTGAAGGCAGTAAAAAATTGGGCTGGAGAGGAAGGTGGATTTTGAATACCATGCTAAGGAGTGTGGACTTTATTCTGTAGGCAAACAGGAGTCACAAAAATACTTAAGGAGAATTATATACAACTTGAATGTTAGGAGAGTAACTGGAAACATCTGGAAGATGGTTTGGAAAGGGAAGAGAGACAAAAACAGAGAAACCAATTAGAGAATTCATACTGCCTGTTCAGCTGAACACATGATGAAGGCTAAATCTAGGCAGAAGCAGCTGAATTGAAGAGCTTTGCTCTTTTTAAGAGAAGTAAAGCAGACTGACCTTAGTGACTGGTGGTAGTAGGACTTTATATATACTGTCTAGATTTATTTATATTTTATGTGCATATTTATGTGTATGTACAGTTTGACTTGTTTTTCATTTCACTGACCCATTTAATGACTGTTTCATATATGACACTTTACCCCTAAATCCTTCAACATGTATTTTCTAAGGTGAAAGATATTCTGTTATATAACTACAATAGAATTATCACACTCGGGGAATTAACAGATACAATACTATTTACTATCTAATATACCTGTGTGCATCCTTCAAGAAAAGAGTCGGGTTTTTTTTCCTCTTAAATGAAAGTTGGCTTACAGAGTTGAAAAAAATCTCCTTTGAATTCAGTGTCTTCTTTCAGAGAACAAACTTAACAACAGAGCTCATTCATTTTATATTGACAAGTTATCTCTCAGCCTATCTCGACCATTGGAATATAGCACTTCCATCCTTGTATTCAGTTCTACCACAATCCTCTCAGCTCCACAAATCATCAGGACCAACAGCCTGATGTGTACTTTAATTTGGGTGTTTACATGGGCACACTGCCTCTTTACCAGTGTTGACAGGCCTAAATAATTAATGCTTCTAAGCAATCAGGGCCCTGAATCTCACCGCTAAAATATGTGACTCAGTTTTACGTGTTTCACTTACTTCAAAAAAGGGGAAAAACCCTGCAGCAGAAAATGACAACAGTGGTACTAAAGCTCAGTTGTTTTCAGAATTTACACACTGTTTCAAGGGCATATAATATTTTTTCATATGCTGAGTGATCTTTCACAGCCCCAACAGTCCATCAGCTATATTCAGATCTCATGTGTAGAAAGAGAATCAGATGCAGAGATTGCCCTAAATTACTGAGGAGTTGGTAAAGCCAGGAAAACAACATCAGACATTTTCTCTTCCTTAACGAAAGAAACCTGGCTTTCCTACAGGTTTGAATTCTTGGGGGATATACCCCCCGCCCATTGCTCAAGGTTCTTGAAGTTCATTAAATTTGCTTCTATCACAACCTCTCCCTCTTTAGAAATGCTTATCTCCTCAGTTCCCTCATCCACCTTCCTCAATATCTATCTTGATTCGTAAGGCCCTCACAAACATGATCAGCCCACCAACCCTGGCCTTCTCAGCTCCAGGAACCGTATCCCTCACTGATCTCCATGTACAATCTTCCGCAGCTCACTGGGAGGCTAAATCGTAGGTGTAGGCATTGCTTGAAAGTTGCATTTGACTTCCATGATATCCAACTTTCAAATTTTCCTGACCATGGTCCCTAATCTCCCATCATAAAACTCACACACACTTGACACTTCTTTTTGGTCACATCAATTTTGGTTAGGCACTTTGCCTCTCTATATTCTACCCTCAAGGAAGATCTTAAGTATAAAATGAATTCCTCAACATACCATGCTGCCAGGCAACAGAGCTTTAAGTGTGAGACTCAAGGAGTCACAACTCTGTTTCTTTCTGTAAGGTAAGATCAAGAGAGTGAAGTATAACCAGTTTAGGACCCAGAGAAAAGGAAGCATAGAGCATGGAGCTGACTCATGTTGGGCCTTAAGAGATGAAGGAGAAATGAAGAGGATGAACCAAGCATAAGTGGTTTTCATCCCCCCCCCCCCCGCCCCCGCCTTATCTTTAACAAGAAAAACCAATAAGCAGATGGCTGGCAACCCGTCATGGTCATTTTAACAATGGATTCATTACCATTGCAAAATGCCTTACTCATTTTGACCTTCTTTTATCATTTATGCCTCATGAAATCCAGTTTTCTTAGAACTGAGTACTAGGCAGAGAACACTATTGAAGAATGACACCAGACCATGTTGACCATCTCAACAAATTAATCTTTTACTTAAGCCCTCATTGTTACCTGGTAATAATGTCCCAAAAGTATCTTTACTTTCCTTGAGGCTCACTCGTTTTCAAGCTTACTTAGTCTTTTACTTCACTAAAAAGACAGAAATTCTCCAGTTCCCTTCTCTTGGCTAAAAATGCTTTCTCAGAAGTGGCTAATGCATTTACGATGATCCAGTGAGCTGTAATTTACTTTCATTTCCCTTGAGCCCTTTTCAGCATTTGACCTGTAGCACACATCTTCCTCGAACCTATCCCTGCTCCCCATTCCTTCAGCACCCCATCATCCACATGGAGGTCTTCTCCAAGGCACTGTATCCAAGCACCTTTGTTCTCATTTCAAACCCTTCAGCTATCAATTCTGTGGAGCTCACTCTCATATCTCTTCAGCCTGCCCGTTTACACCAGTTACAGATCTACGTTTTAACTTCTTCTTGGACGTGACTTAGACCTGTCACCTCCTCAAGCACAGCATGTCCACAGTCAAAAGGATCACTATCTTCTTCCAACCAAATCCTCCTTTCCTCACATTTTCCAGTCAGTCCCCTGGGCCTGGGAACTCTATTTTCAAATAATAGTCTTACGGGCGCCTTCTCCCATCCCATCACTGATATCTCTCAAACCTAGGCCCTCGGAACTCCCATAACTTCTCCTAACTGGTCTTTCTACCTATAAAAGTTTTGCTCTGGACCAGATACAGCCGTCCGAATACATCTTTGGAGATACTTACTTGGTATACAATTTTCGTTGGACCGCCTGACACTGACCGAAATGAGTCGAGCGCCTCTGCCCAACATTCTTGTCCCTATAATGTGCCCCAACCTTCCTCTTTAGCCTTCTTTCCCCTACCTCCTGCTTGGTACCTATCTTTCTACTAACTGGGCTGTTGGCTCTTTCTCACCCTTAGCCCAATGTCCTCATCTTTACATCTTAATTATGTTAGTCCTTCCTCGAAGTATGCTTAGTTCTTACTCCATCCTTTGGAACCTTTCACAAATATTAATTCATCATAAAGCCTTCTGTGCTCTTCAAAATGAGTAAGACTTAAGACCACTCTGCCTTGTTCTGAATAACTGAATGGCTGGCTCTCTGAGGGCTAGGACTAGGTCACTCGTCTTTGTACCTCTAGGCATTTATGACAATGCTTTGTCCAGAACTGATATTAGATAACTTAGCTGATGATCTGAACCTCTGAGCAAACAATTCACCATTAGTATCTAAGACAGACACTTACCCATGGATTCTGAAGTTTGACTGCCAACCACCCGGAGCAGCATAGGCTGACTGCTGTCTGACCTCTGAAGAGAGGTAGAAGGAGAGGAGACCGTTGTACCATTCACCTTGGCCTCTGCCTGGGGCTAAGGCATCCAAAAGACAACAGAATTATTTTTCATAGTAAACACTCGAATATATAAATGTAAAACTATTATAGATACCGAACACTCAGAAATTATGACATTCCCTACTTAGAAACCTCCCAAAGATTGTAAAATTTGGGAAATTTCACTATTGATGAGATCCATAGATGTTGTTTTTGTATTTGAATTGTGCCCCCTTATGTTTGAAAAAAAATTACAGTTACAGTGGAACAAGATATATAAAATTATTCGATTAAAGAAGTGAAAGATTTAGAAGGTCATGTGAGAATGGTGAAACCATGTGGGACCACAAAAACATAGTGAAAAATTCATATTTTTGTGAAGTATTAAGTAACAATATGGAGAGAACACATCTCAAAATTCAAAATTCTCAGAAAGCCAGGACCAGGTGCGGGTTGGGCCTACTACAATGTAGCATCTTGCTAGGTTTTCAATGGATGCTTAAAAAATTACGCTTTAGAGATCGGAAAAAGGAAGGAAAAAAAAAAAAAAGGTTACCAGAAAATAAGACTAATTGCAAAAAAGAGAGTTCCATTTCAAGAGTTAAAAATTTTCACTTTTAGAAAACTAGTGGAAACCTCTCGGTACTTTTTAAAGATGAATTTGAAATCAGTCAACTAGAAAACATTTTTGTAGGAAACAATCTTGAACAAACGTTAACAAACACATTCTTTTTCCTACTCATATCCTTTGATATCTAGCACTTTCCTAGCACATACTAGGTACTCAACAAATTGATGCTTGTTGCACTTCTAAAAATGACTCTGAGTTCTGCTTTTAGTTTTGTTAAGGAGGGGAAAAATGAATTTTTGTAAATGTCCCCTGTTAGAGAGATGTGGGCCTCACTTGCTCCAGCAGCTGCCTTAGCCTATGTAACTGGGACTCCAGCTGTTTATTGTGATCTTCCAGGATTTGCATCCTGGCTTCCAGGCGGCCTTTGTGTTGACGAAGCAGCTTGGCCTCAGCAATGAGCTCAGCATCCCGGGGACTCTGGGGAGAGGTGGGCATCATTTCAGGAGGGGACGGCAGTGGGGACAGGCCTTTGTGTTCATGCTGCTGCTTTAGACGATCATACTCTGCTTGCAGATTTCTGTTGGCATCAAATAAATAAAAGAAAGAAAAAGTAAGTTGAATATTATCACCGGATTTCATGTGAGATGGCAAGAGATGCATCTGACCACCACCAAACACAATAGCAAGCAAAAGAGAGGCACTTAATGAATGGATTTTATGATGACAATTAGCAATGCTAAAAAAACAAAAGAAAATTGGAAGCGTCTTCCCGGTGTGTGAGGGGAGATGCTTTTCAACCTTTTATACTAAAAGCCTTATGAGTGCTACATTCAGATAAGTAAGTAGCAAAGGATTTAATCATTTTGCAAATCCTTCTTTAGTCCATGAGACTACAATATTTAAACCTCTGTCAACACTTTGGTTTGCTTTAAAAAATCAAGTATTTTCAAGAGCAATGTATAGGAACACGGTAACAGTGTAGCCATGTACCCAGCACACTGCTTTAGTACATGTAACATTTGCCATATTTTCTTCAAAAATTTTTTGAAGAAATAAAATATGACAGTTAAAGCTGAACCTTCCCCACGTACCCTGCTCATTACCACATTCAACCCTTCTCACCATTGCCCCCCAAGGAGAGAATGCCACCCTGAATTCCAGGTCCATCATTACCACGGATGTATCCACAAATATTCAGTTGAACTTAATAAAGATGCTGATATTCGGCTTTTTTAACCTACAAAATGGTCATTTCATGTAATTCGATCCAATAGCATTATTTTGCACGTTCTTAAACTTAACGTTTAAGAACTTTGTGTTTAAGAATGTACATACCATTCTAAGAGCTGCTTTTTGCCTTCAACACCGTTTTGGAGATTTATCCATGTTGATACATAATGGTTCACGATTTTAAGTGCAGTAAGGTATTACTCTGCTGCTTGAATATGCCAATAACATTCTCCTGTCAATGGACATTTAAGTTTCCAACTTTCACAATTACAAACAGTGATGCAATAGACTTCCTTTTACCTGTCTCCTTGGATACCTGTTTAAGAGATTCTTTATAGAACATATCTGTGGAATTGCTGGATTCCAGCAACATGTTTAACATTGCTACCTATTACCAAGTTGCTCTCCTAAGTGGTTTTACCAATTTACTCTCTTACCAGTAGTGCACGAGGTTTTCCCTTATGCCACATCTTCATCAAATACTTGGTGTTAGCGAGCATTTAAGTGTTGGCCAATCCAATGAGTGCATTCAAATTTGCACATCCCTGATTATTGGTGAGGTTGAATTTCTTTTGTGTTAATTGGCTTTTTTTTTTTTTTTTTTTTTAATTTCCTATACTCATTTCCCCCACTGGATTGCCTTTCTCTTATTAAAGTTATGGATATATTTTGGATGTTTATTCCTTTGCCAGCTATGTACACAACAAATATCATCTCCTACTCGTATCTTAGTGTAGCTTCTTTAACTTTGTTCATTTCATGGCATCCTGTTGTACAAAAAAACCTGTAATTTTAATATATTTCTCCATGTTTTCTGCTTTTTATGTTTTGCTTAAGAAAATCTTCCATACACTTACATTTTAAAGTTTAAAATTTTGTTCTTAACATTTAGGACTTTAATTTACCCAGAATCTCTTATGCTTAGAGTGAATATATGATCTACTTTTTCTTTCTCCCATAGATAACTTACTAGGCCTGCTCTATTCACTGTGTAGTTCTTTTCCCCACTGATTTCTGGTGTACCTCGGCAATACATCGAGTGTCCAAAAATACATAAGCGTGCTTCTGAGCTCTCTATATTCTATTCCGTTGGGTTCTTTGTATGTCCCTCCTCATGCAGATGCCACACCAGAGCTTTAAATAAGTTGGGTGTCTGGGAGGCCTTCTCACTCCCGCATTGTTCTGCCTTAAAGCTGTCTTGGCTCTTCTGACTCCTTTGATCTTCTCCTCTATGATTTTAGTGTTACATTTTTGTATTTTCACATGAAAATTCTTGGTGAAATTTGGGGTTTGAATTACATTGAATTTATCAATTAAACTGGAAAGAATGGACTTCCTGTTATTGAGTCTTCACATCCAGAAATGTGGCGAAGCTCTTCACTTCTTCCAGTCTCATTTTACATCCATTAATAATGTTGTATAATTTACTGTGCCTTTTCCTCTAGCTTTTATTTATTTTTGGTTTTTATGTTTTTAAATAAATACATTTAGGGTTATAGATTTCTTTCTTGCTTTAGAATTGCTGAGAATACAATTCCGATTGAGGACACTTCTATCTGATACCTGGTGACTGATTAGAACTCTTTGATATCTTTCTTCCTGTTAGGAAGATATCTTCCTGATATCTTCAGAAATAAGATGATGGATTTCTGCTGTTCACAGATGATATTTCATCAGGTGAAAGAACTTCCTATCCATAAATGTGGGAGATCTGTATTCATGAGAAAAGACATGAGATGCAAGTGAGGCAATAGGAGTTTTGCCGTTGTCCAGTTTGAGAAAGTAAGATAAGCTCATGACCAGGTTTCCTACTGGGGAAATATTTTCTGTTGTCCCATACCTGGAATGAATGTTCCACAGGGGATGACATGTCTTCCAAAATGCTGGATTCTCCACATTGAAGAAGAAGAAAAAAAAAAAGTCCAATCTATTTTTTAAGCTCCACCCTGTCCCTAATGTTAGAAGTTTTCTAGGAATTCAAAGTCGTGCAGGAAATCAATATATGATCTTTTCCATTTATAGGAATATAATCTCCTATCTGTCTGAACTGAAATTCCATCTGCTATATCTTCAAGGATAGTTGTACATATAGTTTGTTTCATAGCAATCTGCTTTGACAAAGCAGTAGAGATTGATCGAAATAAGTTTACCCTCGGCTGGATTCTGCATATTGGTCGTCTGCGTGTGAACCAACATATGTAGTCATCACATTAATTAAATCCAATTTCTGACCACTTTACTGACAATCATCTAGATGTTTCTGTGAACTTGAAGCAGCATCCAGTGTTCATAAGGTTTCAGTTGAGAGGAATTATCTTCTATTTTCTCCCCTTGCAGTATGCGCTGAAAGAAATCCACCTTCACTGAAATGTCCCAATTGGTAATATCTTTTAATGAAGAATTCTATTTAGGATTCTTCTTTCTACCAGACTGGGTCATCCACAATATTCTTTTTGAAAACATTGCTGTATTATCCTGAAGTCCACGTCTAAAAACAAACGATTACTATCTTGCCAACTACTTTTCACAAAGGTACTGACATTTTCTAGAGGAGTCTTTGTTGGTATCTTGATCCTCTGGGTCTAGTTTTCCACAGAGCTCTCCTTTAATGAGTTATTTATAAGTGCCTTTGCTCAGAAAACATGGTTTAGTATATCCAACACATTACATTTCTGTTTTTATGTTTTCCAGTGAAAAACAGAAAAGGTCATTTGAATCAGCAAAGGCTTCCCAAAGCTGAGCTGTAAAGAATACCAACTACTCCTAAGTAGAGCCTTTCTTGCCTTCTCAGATGAAATTTCTCGAGAGACTATTTCCTTAAACACTCACATTTTTCTTCAGTTATGGAAGATTCTCTGCTATTACAGCTTCAAACATTGCTTCTCTGCCATTTCCTCCATTCTGTTCTTCAGAAACTTGTATTAGGAATATTTTAGAGCCTCGTGGTCAATTCCCCATCTATTTTAATTGCTCATTTATATTTCTCATCTTTTTCTCTTAGCGCTGTGTATAGTGAAGTCCTCAGAATCATCTTTTAATTCACTTATCTTCTTTCTCTGACTGGGTCCAGTCTAGAATTTATCCTATAGAGTTTAGTAGCTTCAATGATGATAGTTTTTAGTTCCAAAGATGTCTTTTTCAGATCCATCTGTTCTTCATCTATTTCTGTTAGTTTCTTGTTATTTTTTAATTTTTTTTTTGTTATTTTGGTGTTTCCTTATTTATGGCTTTGAGCAACCTAAATGTAAGACAAGCAATCCCTGTTATATACTCTTCTGTCATTTTACTTTCATCTAGGCTTAATTCATCTTTTGATGGTCAGTTTCGAAGGACTACCTCACCTCTTTATGTGTTTTGGATTT